GTAGTACGTACTCAAAGGAAATAGTATCCAGCTTCACATGGTTTCCAGTAAGAATCTCTACAAGAATACTGAATCATAGCACTTAAAGGTTCATAAAATGGAAAACAGGATTTTCTGTGCTCCACAGACCATTTATGGAAACTAAGTTGCATAAGCAAAATCACAACAGAACTGACATCACACAACCATGAGCATTTGACCACCCACCTTTACATACACACTCATTCAACAATTAGCAGCTTGGTGTAAATCATTTAATTTGCAAACAGCTTAGCCAATCATAACAACTGTAATTTACATGTAGTTTATAGGTACAGTACAGTAGCTAAAACAGTCAGAGAGAGTGTAGAAAATAGTCATAATCAACTTTTTTGGTAAAAGAAACCTTGAGCAAAGTAAGAGAACTTCAAGGTGATAAACTGTACTGTAAAATATGGTCCTTGTTTTATGTTTCTAAACTGAGACATACTTAACCTATATTACTTTTTTTTATTATTATTTTGTGACAATTTCTCATTTAGGGTCATAAAATCACATGCAAGTTTTGACAATCTGAGGTGTTATGGTATGTGCGTATATTCAAATTTATATTATGATATACTGTAAATCTATTATGATATTTGCGGGTCAATTTGACACACAGTTTCATGGTTAATGGCAGATGAACAGACCATCACAAAAAAAATTATTTTGTTATGTCAGGTTCTCAGCTATTTTTACATTTTATTTATTTACATTTATGCATTTGGCAGATGCTTTTATCCGAAGAAATGTACACTGTGTTCAAGGTGAAACTTTTATTATTTAAAGCATGGTAATCTCACCGGGAATCAATGTTACCGCATGCCCTACTGCTTGATCGTCACAAAAGCACCAAAAAAATCGATTTATTAAAAAATAGCTGCAATAATGGTTATAAAATGGTTAAAAGTTTAAAAATCTGTTCTCATGTTTATTTTTGTTGTAATGTGTTAGAAAGTTTAACATTAAAGGTTTTTACCTTATTTATTTATTTTATACTGAATCCAATTAGGGACAATTTGACCTGCAATTTGACAATTTGACCTGCAACCTAAAAAAAAAAAAAATCACAGAATCCAAACATAATACAAGGGTTAAAGAGACTCACTAAATATGTCAAAAGGACTATGCTGTAATCTCAGATGACTGAGGGGGCTGTTCACACCAAATGCGTTTTTCCATTCCACACAATTTGGAATGGATACTTTTCCACTGTTTATCTATGTCGGGGGTTCTCAAACCTCTCCATGAAGTACCCCCAGCACTGCACGTTTTGTAGGTATTTTGTAATATCTCGATATTAAGCGATTCTCATGCCGTTCACTGTGGAGTGACAGATCGCTGTAAGCGCCTCAGTTCAACAGACGCGGTAGAGTTGATCATCTGCTCCACATTAATACCAGTTTCAGCACAAAATAAGCATGACTAAACATCCGAAGGTAAGTTAAAAGAAAGAGTACAACTTTACAATCCGTATCCTGTCTCATGTAATCGCTCAATCAGTGTTTCAGCCATGCAAAGACATCAGTATAACAGCTTGTATACAATGTCAAGTAACATTTCATTTACCTCAGAAAGCATATTCGGTGACCATAAACTCATTAGTAAGCTAGAAAAATAAACTGTAGAGAGGGGCATTTTGCTAAATATATGCACCATATAACATATTCATTATAAATTTTACTGTTCTTCAATGTTTAAAGTCCACGTGAACCAGAAGTTGCTGCCGACTTTATTTCAGTGAAGTGACGTATTTCCAGCTGAAACGGAATATTGAGGAGAGGGCGTGGTTTTATTTTTGCGCTCCTCCTCTCTGTCTTTCACTCATAGCAAACTAACGGTTGAAGGGGTGTGCTTAAGCATTTTCTGCCCAAGCCGTCAAACTGACGTCATCAGAGAAAGAATGCAATTCCAGAGTGGAAGTAAATGTTCAGATTTTGATTAAAGATTACCAAGAAAAACAATTTTTTTCAGCGGATTCACTTGCACGGATTAATTATTCACATCATAAAGTAAATAAATTCAATTTTGATTTCATGCGGACTTTAATGTTTGAATAAATTCATCAAGTTTTTATGACAGCCACCATTATGTTTATATTGAAAAAAAAATGAATTGAAATAGAAATATTATTATGTAATTGTAACTTTCTTATTTTAAAAACTTCATTAAGTGTAATTTTAACAAATCTGCCAATTTTAACCTTCAATATTATAGTAATGTAGTACCAACTGACTCATGTATATTTTACAGCATTAGTTGAGAGATTTTGTTTCTTTGAAAATTTGGCATGTACTGTACCTGACATGTATCCAAATTAATCGATATTGAATCGAATCAAACTGGTAATCGAATCGAATCGCAAGCTTGTGAATGAGAATTGAATCGAATCGTGAAATTTGTGTCAATACCCAGCCCTAACGTTTTGTATGTCTCCCTATATCTGACACACCCACTTCAGGTCTTGCAGTCTACACTAATGAGCTGATGAGTTGAATCAGGTGTGCCAGATGAGGGAGACATACAAAATGTGCAGGGCTGGGGGTACTCCAGGACAGGTTTGAAAACCACTGATCTATGTAAACACACACTAGATGGACTTTTGCAGCATCTCATGCATGACACAGCGTGCTACAAACACAGCATTCAAGTTAAAAGAAGTTCAACTTTTAAAAAATGTGTTTCGAGACCTTGCGTTTTTCCCCCATCCCCACTGCCCTTCTCTTTGCTTTGAAAAACGTGTTTTGTGTGAATTGGCCCTTAAGCATGTGGTAACTGGATATCAGTTATATCAGCATAATATGTCTTTTTGAGCGCTGCAACTGCTAAAGGACACAAACACACACTCACACACACAAATCCACTTTTTATTTGTGAGCGCTGCTGCGAGTCTGACCAACCAGTGTTGTTGTTGTTGTCTCAGTTCACCCTCTGTTTAACCTCAACATTCACGTCCTTCTCCTTTCTTGCTCTCTCTTGTAGATAACCCTGTGTCCGTCCATTCTCCTTCGCTTGTAAACCGCAGCCTAAGTACACTGATAGTGTCTAACAAAAACTCACACACGTACTCTCTATCTCTCTCCCTCTGCCGAACTCATACAGGCGGCTCATTTATCTCAATGAAGACTGATAACAAGTCTCTCTCCTATTACACCAATACTCTCTCTCGCTCTTTTTTCCTTTGCTCCTTCTTCCATATCTCATTCCGGTTAAGTGGTGGGAGGCTGGATGCTGAGAATACGCCTCTCTTCTGCACTTCTTTCACTTTCTTTCTATCTCTCTCCTTTATTTCTCTGAATCAATGACTCTCTTCAGTTGGATTGTGAAGGTCTTAAAGCGATAGTTCATTCACAAATGACAATTCTGTCCTCATGTTGTTCCAAACGCATACAAATTTCTTTCTTCGCTGAAGAATAATATGAAACATTTTGAAAAATGGGTAACATTTTACAATTAGTTCCCATTAGTTAACACATTAACTGATATTATCTAACATTACAACTGTTCATTGGTGGTTCATGTTAGCGTAGGTCCATTAAATTATATTGATGGCTGATCAATATTGATATTGATGGCAATACTGATGGCTTTTCTATGCAATTACAATAAATATATTTTGAATAATGACTTTCAGTCTGTTTATTAGGCTAAAGCTATCATAAGGATTCAGAAGACAAGTCATATCAACCACGTTTATTATACTTGTATTGTGCTTTAACAGCACCAGGCCTCATTCACTTTCATTATATTTAGAAAAGATATTCTTTATAAATTCATCTTCTGTGTTTCATGGAATAAAGTGATGATGCAGAGGAGAAAATGTGACCTCATTTGGGGGTGATCTATTCATGTAAAAGGTTCCTACCTAACCAACACACATTAAACACTCACATGAAGTTCGGCCGAGCCAAAAATGACAGAAACCAACATAAAATGTGTAAACAGTAAAAAAAAAACAAAAAAAAACAGAGCAAATAATGTTAGTTGCCACAGTTTTCCATGCTGCATTTCTCTCCAATGTAAGAAAACATCATCAACCATCCAAATAAAAATGCTAAAATAGCATTAAATGGACACAATTTTATGCAAATGTGCAAGCAGGAATCTAAACAATTCAGCTCAGACAAAAAATAAATAAGAACAGAAAATCAATCAATTACAGCACAAAAATTCAACCATACCACTGTGCCCTTATCCTGTGGCCTGAGGCGACCAATTACTGTAGGATACAGGGGCAACAAATGCCAAATATACCAATCTATACTCTCAATATGTCCAGAAATGGTTTAAAATATCCATGGTGAAACAGTGAGGTTATTTAAGCAGGAAAGTTCCAGAAGTTATGTTATACTGTGAACAACGTCATGTCTAAAGAGCTCTTTTAGGAACAATATGCAAAAAATAATTACAATGTAATACTGATAATTCATAAAGTGCCATCTTTTTGATACAAAGTGTGCCTGGCAAATAATCAACAGAAGGTTTTCTAAACATTATTACAATGCAGGGAAGGTGCATTGACTTCAGTAGACACTTTATTTACCATTATTTATCTTTTCCATTGTTGTATTTCATATCATCACATACTTTTGGCACACAAAAGCTTTGGAGTGCGTAAATAGGCTACAATCCACCACTTTCCGAAAAACCCACTTTGGCTCACACAACCAGACACAAACATATAAACCCACACTCAGACACCTGTCTGCAAGTGTACTAATACTCTTAGAAATAAGTCTACCATCACAGCATCTAATTTAGCATTAGCAAAGATTAGCCCTCAACTCCAAGCTAAAAGTGCGTCATATATCTTGTAAACTTGAGAGAACCTTATTATAAAATGTGTTTGCCTGAAGATTATCCACTATAGGAGTGCTAAAATTACCCTCTGGGTATATGCTCTTTAAGAAAAACTTATAGCTTGCTTGTACTCACTTTGCAAATCACACATCTTGCTTCTAAGCGGGATTCTGCTAAACTAATACAATCCTCATTTTCTGAAAGCATCCCAATTTTAAAATAGAAACTATACACATGTATTTGGTAAGATTTTGTTTTTGAAAAAAGTCTTTTATGCTCATCAAGGCTGCATTTATTTGATCAAAATTATGGTAAAAACAGCAACATTATGACATTTTATTACAATTTAAAATAAATTCTATTTTAAAATATTTTAAAATGTTATTCATTCCTGTGATTTCAGCAGCCATTACTCCAGTCTTCAGTGTCACATGATCCTTCAAAAATTATTTTAAAATGCTGATTTGATGCTCAAGAAACATTTATTCTTATTATTATCCATATTAAAAACTATATTATGTTTGTTTAATAATTATTCCAGGATTCTAAGTTTGATGAATGAAAAATTTAAAAGGCCATCATTTAAAATCTTTTGTTACACTATCAATATTTATTAGCCTATCACTTTTGATCAATTTAATGCATCTTTTGCTGAATAAAAGTATTAATTTCTAAAAAAGGGAAAAAAAATCTTACTGAACCCAAATTTTTAAATGATAGTGTATAAAAAATGTATATACATGTGTGTGTACTTGCACATATACTTAAATATATACAACATTTTCCCAGCTAAAAGCTCATACTTCTGGTTAGGGATTGGCTTTAAACCTCTACTCCTAAGTATTAAGTTTCGGTATGTGATTCGTCCTGCACCATTTGCGCTGCAAACATGAATAATACCTCAAAATGATTGGTTTGTTGAGGGGAGGTGTGCTATTACTTTTCTGAGGAATCAAACTTCAAAATTTTCACCTGGCAAAACAGGCAAGAAAAATATTCAGCAAAAAAGCTTTGATTTCCTACTCACTAATCAATATTTTTGCTAACTTTTCCAAGCAGAAAGGGACTATAATTTTTCTGTGTGCATCTGCTAAAAGTAAATTTGCATATAAATGACCTCAAGGCTAACAAAAGCAAAACAACTCATTATCATTATTAAATCATTATTGATTTAATGGGGAGTGTATTTGTAAAACCAAGGACAGTCACCGAAATAAACAGATATTGTTCTCATGAGAGTAGCACTGATCTGAAACTAGTCCTATTTAACGTAGAACATAGCATTTAGAAAGCTTAATCACTTTAACAAACACTTGTGTGAATTCTGTGGGACATGTTCCGTCTTCAGTCAAAAAAAGATATTTAGACATCCTTATGTATATACATTCAGACAAGTCTCCATCTGATAACAGTTCCTAGGTAGATTGGGCCAACCGTGAATGTAAACAAGGTCAAGATCCCACCTTTCCAAAAGAAAAGAGGGGGAAAACATTGCCCTGAACAAGCTGAGTGTGGCATGAGGGGAATCATGGATGAGTGAAATTGGTTCATATCTGCATCTTAAGCAGGTAAACGGTCTACTCGCTCTCATCTTTTTATTGCCTCCATCTTTTGTTCCATCCTGTATGTGTGTGTGCTTTTGTGACCAAGTGTTCGTTTATGTGTAAGGTCTGATGAGATAACTACAAGAGGAGACACCTGGAGCCATGAACTGATGCATGAAGAGAAGCACGTTTCACACCAACACACAATAACACAACGCAAACCAAGCGTACTGTGATAGCGCATGCTCAAAATGCATTTCCAGGTCACCATTTAGATAAGATTAGAATGAAATGGACTTGTGTGAGAGAGGCACAGCACCAATGAGCTCATCAGACCAAAATGGATTTCAAACTTGCATAAACTCAGTTAGACCAATTCTGTGCCAACGTTCCTATTCCTTTCTGTTCTCAAGTCTTGATTTTTCAATGTATTCAATTCACTGTCAATTCATATTTTCAGGGATCACTGAGATAAAAAATTCTTGGCAAAAAAATTAATGGATACAGAAAATTCATGCATTTTAATCATTCAAATTTAAATCAATCTCATAAGTGGGTTGTAGTCATAAAATTAAAAAGCAGTCAACAATTCTGGCATCAACCAGTTTAGTTTACTATGGGTACTAAGAAAAGGGATTGATGATGGCAGAGGCTCCTTCATGCAACAATTATTTTATTAACTTTGCTCACTTGCCATATTAATAATTAAAGTGCATGTTGGGTTGGGATTTTTGGATTCCAAGTGAGGTTTCCTCATCAAACTGTAGCAATTATTTCAGAAATGTTTTTTTTTTACTTATTTTTTTATAGTTAAATATTAAATAAGTAAAATATTAGAATTAAATATTAAAACAAACTAAAGTCTTAAATGTCCCTCCTGAAATATATTTGCATACATTAAGTATTTGGCAGATTTTTTTAAATATATGAGAGAACTGAACCCACAACTTCAACGCCGCTTACACCAAGATCTACTAGTTCAACTACAATATCAAATATATGCTTAAAAATAAATGCAATAGTTTTTATATAGTTTTTTTCTGCCATTTCTTGCCTCTCTACCCATTTTAAATTTTTGTTTCTCTATAACACTACTTTAATATACCATCATAAAACTTATTTTCAAAAACTATCACTGTCAAAAACATTAAGGCAAATCACCAACATTAACCATAAAAAGTAAATGTTAAAGGGGTCATATGATGTTGCTAAAAAGAACATTATTTTGTGTGTTTCAGGGAGTTTGCCAGGTCTGTGGCCTGCAGAAGCGGGTGAGTTTACCCGACCATTATAAACGAGGCATTTGTTGCATCCAGTGGGGACATAATTACGGATTATAATGACATATACTGTCTTTTTACACGTTGCGTTGCATCGCGGCGCGTAAACATAAAACGATGTCTGCATCTGTGATCGGAGAAATGACAAACAACAAGCGCTACTCTACACTGCTCAAAACTCGCGTTTGAATCGTCAGTGGCAAATTCTTTAAATATAAAAACCGTACTTACAGTCTGTGAGTCAGAACAGCCGGCATTGTAGTCTACTCTACCAGGATCAGGAAACAGTCCTCCATAAAATGTGCTGCACACATCTGAATATTTGGGTTGAACTGTTCTGGAACAGTGTTGTAAATACAACTTAACCACTGATTTCTAGTCGTGTCCTCTTTTGGAAGGCCAAACAAAGTAGTTTCGCTTTCACAACGAAACACACAGCGTCACACACGGCGGGCTTGAGTGAGCGGTGGCAGGCAAGCTTGAGTGAGGAACTGTATCACTTCAAAGAGAAATGAAAAATTTAAATCGCATCATATGACCCCTTTAAACTTACCTATGAACTGCTGTATGAGAAAACTGAATTAATCTTGAATATTTTTCAAAGGGTCTATAAATATAAACTCGCAATATAAATTTCTAATGAATACTCTATGAAAAACAATTTCAAGATTGAGGTAAAATACAAATTCCAACTTAACTTTAACTTTAGGTTACAGTTAACTTTATATAAACCATGATGAATATGTGATTTAAAAGAAAGTTCAGAATCGAGCCATACTCCAAGATATTTAATAGAGTCAACTTTATGCAAAGGAGTACCGTCTTTACATGATACAGCACACAAACCAGCTTTGGATTTAAGTTTCTGTCTAGAACCAAAAATCATAATATAGGACTTAGTTTTATTAAGCACTAGTTTATTATCCAAAAGCCAAACTTGCAAAATATTAAAATCCAACTGAAGAGATAAATGAATTTGTAAATAATCAGATTTTGTTACAAAATGACAGTGACATCAGCATAAAGTTAGACATGACAATTTTTGAAAATTAATTGTAAATTATTTACAAAAATGGAAAAAAGCTGTGGTGCCAATATTGATCCTTGGGGCACACCTATTTGTTGAATCAAGATGTATTCCCATTTAAGACAGCACACTGTTTTCTATAATGCAAGTATGAACTAACAAAACTGCATTTTCAGTAAGACCAATAGCATGGAGTTTAACTAGCAATATTCAATTTTCTTAGCAATGTTTTCATTACACTAAATGAAGATAGCAACAGATTCTATTTACACTACATAAAAGTAGAAGTATTTTCTTTGCAGTAAGTGTAAATAGTAGTTAGTAGCCAAATAGTGGCAGATACTATTTGCACCTCAATATTGTTGTAGATTAATATAGCGTGTAAATGATTATATTTATTAAAATTATTAAGTGAATTATTGGGACAATAAAGCCCTCCCAACACCTACTCCTAACCCCGATATACTTCATTATTAAACTCTTGTTATGCACATTATTTCCACTTTTCAAATATTTTCTTCATTGAAAGTAAACGCTTTTATGATCTGATATGTGATGGGAAAAAGGAGAAGAGCAAGTTCAGCAAAAGATGGATTCGAACTCAGGTTGATCATGTCAAAAGCTACTTTTATGTGGCTTACTCCCTACACCACTATGGCTGGTACATGGTGGGCATTGTTTGCACTTAGTGTAGGCAAGGCTATTTGCACTTAGTGTACTTTTTATCCCTGTGTGCACCAAACCCATCTTGAGTGTTTGTTGCTAAAAAGCTAATTTTTTAGTTACATCTGACCATAGAAGCTAGTCCCATTTGAAGTTCCAGTTGTGTCTGACACCAGAATATGCTGGGGATTGTTTTTGGATGAGAGCATTTTCTTTTCTTGATGTTTTCACTCTCTCTCTCTCTCTCTCTCTCTCTCTCTCTCTCTCTCTCTCTCTCTCTCTCTCTCTCTCTCTCAAGACTCATATTTGGATAACACACACTCCCAGTTGTTTGTGTGCTGACTGCAGAAGTGTTACCCCAACAGATGATGATTACATGAAGCATCATTCCCAAGACAAATGCTTGCTGTGGGTTTTATTACAGTTATAATGCGTTTTCTCCTCTTATGGTTTTTTTCAGTCCCTTTTCTTTTTTGTCAGACATCAAGCCCTACTCCTCCCACACTTCCAATAGCACTATACATAAGGGCTAAAAATACAAAGCAGGAATTGTGCTAAAGACTAAAGAAGACTAGGAAGATTTTGTTTATTAGGGGTTGACTGATCCATAACCAGCAGGGGGGGTGAATAAAGGCATCCTGTAGTGAATCCATGTGTTTTTGTAAAAATATTCATATTTCAAACGTAATAAACACTTTTCTATCACTTCCACCAACTGTCATATGCGGAAGCCGTGCCGGCGGATGACGCAGCACATCGGTGTTGCGTGATAAGGGACGAAAGCGGAGAGACAACAAAACAAAACGTCGGTCACGAATTAGAAGTACAAACCGAAGATTTGCAAAGAAAATGTCGGAGGATTTCGATATAAGCCAAGAGGAGACTGGTTTTACTTTGCTAAAGTAAGGAAACTTTGCTTCCTTTGCTCCTATAAACAAACTCGCGAGATCTCAGAGGCACGTGCTGCCTTCCGCAGGAACGCCTTTCGCGTATGACAGACACCGGAAGTGAGAGAAAAGTGTTTATTACGTTTGAAATATGGATATTTTTCTTACAAAAACGCATGGATTCACTACAGAAGGCCTTTATTCACCCCCCGGAGCCGTGTGACTTGTGGACTGTTCAACTGCAACACCCGCTGTTGACACTGCAATGATAGAGCTTGGAATAGCCAAGACAATTTTTAATATAACTGGATTCATCTGAAAGAAGAAAGTCATATACACCTAGGATGCTTCGAGGGTGAGTAAAACAATCCAATTTTCATTTTTGGGTGAACTAACCCTTTAATAGTTCATTTATTATAAATGATCTTCTCTTTTGGTTTTTCATCAAGTTAATAAGAGATAATTATCAAACTACCTTTCACTTGTAAATAATTTAGCCTAATTCAATTTTTAAAAGGGCATTACCACAGTTACTGAACATTGAAATCACACACCAGTGACAAACCATAATATGAAATACCTGGATATAAGATTACTGTCACACCACCCACACAAAACTTGTTGTTTTTTCATTTATAATATTTTCTATTCCATTATAAATACTTAAAAATGCACACGTGACAAGCCTAAGTTAGTGCAATTAAACTTTATGGATGTTCTCTCTTTCTTATTTTTGTGTGTGTGTGTGTGTGTGTTGGGGATGAAAGAGGTCATTAGTGAAATTCTCTGATACTTAAGAGGATCTCAGGCTTACGCTGAGAGCCTTTAATATTGGTGTGTACCTCAACCAAAAGTTGCACAATCAACCTCTCAATTCATTTTCTTATTTTTATCTGTTTGCAATTATCCTACATACATAAACGGATCACATCCAGAAGTGCAGCACTGTGTAAACCTCAATCTACCTTATAATCACAAATACATGCCCAAGCGTGAATGCACAACAAATTTGAATATGTAAAACCAAACCAAACATGACAAGCAAAAATCATCTTGTATGTACTGCAAGTGAGCTCTTACGATGAAAGAAGGACAGAGATGTGGCATAAACAAATTAAAGCTATTGTAATTAGTGCAACACTGTAAACACTGTGATTACAATTAGATGCTCTGTAAACAAAGCGCTTGCCTAATTACTTTACCGAGTCTGCAGGCTATGTGGCTCTGCGTGTGTTTTGTGTGCAAGTACACAAGCTCAGACCAGACAGGCAAGCAGAGGATAAGCTGTAAAACAGCTGATCTTGGTGACTCTTGGATTAGCTGGCAAACTATGAATGGAATTTTGCCAGACTGAAATTTGTGAATAATTCATTGTACAGTTTGTGCTAGGAACATGAATGAGACCTGTGCGACTTGTTCAGGCGAGGTGTGTAATTACCTTTCAGAATTATCAGGTTTTAGAATTCCAGAACCACACTGAATTTCACCGACACTCTGTCTCTGTATCATCCAATCTCAATTTGTTTCTTACAAACACACAGCTTTTCATCTCACAAAATGTTAACTGATGGACTGAAGTTGTGTGGATTACTAAATTATCGTGATGTTTTATCAGCTGTTTGGACCCTCATTCTGACGGCACCCATTCACTGCAGAGGATCAATTGGTGAACAAGTGCTGTAATGCTACATTTCTCCAATTATGGTCACATGAAAAATTATGGCCTTTGGGTGAGTTCATTTTCAGCAAACTGTCATTTTTGGGTGAACTATTCCCATATGTAAAGTGTTACCACATTCTAAAAGCAAAAATAAGAGGAATGATAACACTGCATGCTTCAAATCACGCCAAATCATCAAGTTCACTTAAACAATAGTTGGCTGACACACTGTGGGACACCAAGTTCATCTGGTGAAAAAATGCTCATTACTAAAGTGCTAATTGGCTAGTTTTGATATCAAGGGATTCTACATCCCAAATGAATCTAGCTGACTCCTTTGGGACACTTTCACAGCACCTGTGTGCATTTCCAGATAGCAAATTAATTAGCAGCCAGATCAAAGAGATTCAATTTTTAGGTTTTCGTTACAGACGGCAGCAATGTGTTCATAGACCTTTTATTGAAATTGCCAAAAAATTACAATTCAATTAACAAACTTTCTTTTTTTCTTCTTAAATCAAAGGAAGCTTTGCAACTATTGCCTTTGATGAACCCCCCTTTGTCTATATTTGTCATTTAGACATACATTTACCAAAAGAGAAATTCCTGATAACAAATTTCCATCACTTAAAATAATCAACCCCAGACCAAGTCCTAAAAATGAGAATGCAGAATTCTTCAGGAAAACCATTGACTTCCAATATTGAGTGAAATTGACATGTTTAACATTCTCTGTAAGCTCTCCGGAGAGCTGAACTAGAAGCACAGAGATGGCCTAGTTTGGAAGTTCTCAAAAACAAACACTTAGAGCGTCTCTGAAAGTTTCCCCCTCCCTCTCTCCCCATCAGGCTTTGCATGCAGGTCCCTGGTTCCACAGCTACCATCAAAGCCCATCACAAATTAGTCTTCTAAGTTGATGGATAACAGGAAATATTCAATCCAAACCAGGAGGAGGAAAATTAATACATAATATTATAACTAAAAAAGAAAAAAATGATATTTTCTTATACCAACAAACCAGGTAAAAATATGTTGTAACTTCTTAAGTCAAAATCAACTTGAATATATAGGTTTGTTTTATTTTTTGTTAATTAAAAAGGTTTACACAAAATTCATCAAACTGTTTTACTCTAACAAGATTTTTTTTAATCTATAAAAAGCATGAAATTGGCTTAAAATTTCTCTCCACGTCAGGTTTTGCATGCAGGTCCCTGGTTCCACTATCATCAAATCCCTCAATCACAAATTAGTCTTTTGAGTTGATGGATAACACAGGAAATATTCAATCCAAATCAGCAAAAGGAAAAATGACTAAATATTTTATCATATACTATTTTATCATATAATATCATATAAGAATGGTCATACTTGATATAAAAAAAAAAAACGAATTGCAAACCATAAATTTGTCTTTGTCTTACCATGCAATTAAAAAAAGAAAATTCAGGTATTCAAGTCAGGTAAATTAAAAATATGTACATCCTAAGTCAACTTGACTATGTTTTTTTGTTTTGTTTTGTTTTGTTTTGTTTTGTTTTGTTTTGTTTTGGGGTTTTTTTGCAAATTAAAAATGGTTTACACAAAATTTGTCAAAACTGTTAAAAATGATTTACACTAACAAGATTATATTTTAAAATCTATAAAAAGCATGAAATTGGCATTACATGCTCACATGTACAAGAGCAAAAATCTACTGGTACACATTAAATATTCCCATAGGCATGATTCTACTTCATATCGGCAGAAATACAGGTACTGTACTTAAAATGATTTTATTCATACCACACAGAAGGCATATGAAGCAAATAAAATGGCTGACTGGACATGTACGTGTGCACCAGTGCAAGCAAACTGTACAATAAATACAATTCATAAATTTCATTATCAGTCAGTCGCATGCCTCATTTAACAAAAACGCTCTCTTTGTGTCTAAAGAAACTTGCTTCTGTTGCTCACAGTGAAGGGACAGGAAAACAATAGTTTATGCATGCGCTGGGACACTGGGACTCTAGACTGAAGTCTCAATGAATTAATCGCACATGATACATGAGTCTTACACTTCCTCATATAATGCAGCTGCCAATTAATTTCAAGCATAATCATGGAATGCATGTTCCAAATTGAACACACGTGTATATATGTGTATAAACCATCAAACACCACAAATCATCAAGAGTGCTCCCAGCTTGAGCATATGGATAATTCATGAGGTGAAGCATGGTGAAAATTTATTCTGATTATCATTATTAGAGCAACACATGTTTATTTAATTGCATTTGTGAATAATAAGGCTGTTCACAAATTGTCTGCATATAAGTATATGCTAATTACTAGAGAGGTAATACGAATAAACAGGTGCTTGAAAGACTTAATAGGAAGTGTCTGTGTGTGTGTGTGTGTGTGTGTGTGTGTGTGTGTTTGTGTGTGTGTGTGATGACATATCGAACAGCCATGAATATTATGATGGCACAAACACAGAGAGAAAAGGGGAGGAAGAGTGTGAGGAAGCAAAACAATTCGTTTTATGAGAGCACAGGTGTGCAAGCTTCTAATATCTATTTAATATAATATTTTCCAAGGATATCAAATTCTAGCTGTATTTAATTGAACTCATAAGTCTTTTTGCATACTGTCTACATAAGAAATTATTCTAAGACAGCATTCTAACATCATGGAATCTCATACACAACTGATTTGGGACACTAGTTCACACATAATGGTGGTCCTCATGTGAAGAACACAGACTCACAATTAATTCCAAGAGTCTGGTATTAGCGTCTTGCTAAGCTAACAAGTTAGCATGTTAGCGATTCTTTTCAGTACATTATTACTCTGTAATTTTATTCAAAATTTCGCTCAACTTGGTCCACTATCATCACAAAGCATTCTAGAAATGAAATATCTTTCTCATTACCTTAAAATGTTGTTTAGGTAGGCAACTTCACTAGGTTTGGGAACAGAGCAATATTCCTGCTAATTTAATGAGTCAATCTAATTTAACTGCTGACCTAAACTGAATTTTGTCGACAGAGTGCCAATAAATGCCTTGCTCTAAAGCCAAAAAGAGCATTTTGCACCAGATGGCATTTATCTGTTTGTACTCTCATTTATTTGAGAAGACTTTTCTTAAATCTTTCAAATTCGTAGTTATTAGCCATCAAAAACAAACGCTTCTATGTTTTGCTGCCTTCGGTTGACAGCCTGCATTACATTAGTTTTCAGTTCATATTCTGACAGGTTGACAGTAATAAACTAAAAACAGAAAAAAAAGTAAATTAATGAGAGACAGATAAAACACATTTCAGTGACATGAGCGAGTATAGCACACAAGGAGAAAAAAAATCACTGGTGGCGTTATGGGTATTTCCTATCTGACACATTACTGAAAAAGAGTGTTTGTGTGGGTGCATGCTAATGCTGTTAGCGCCTCTGTAGTTTCTTTATGCAAGTGAGGGCAAAAAGTTTAATTAACACACAATCAAATGTCACTGGTCTGACAGCAATTATAACCATGGATCCACAATAATTGATTTAATGACGAAAGAGACGGTGGGGTGTGTGAAGTGATCCAAGTTCAATTAATCTTTTTTTCAGGAAATTGACTAATTATTGGATTTTTAGTCAGTATTTACTGTAGAAGTTGCTTATAACAAACATAGTGTGTGTATACATCAGGAGCATTGCCTCTTCAAAAAACTGAATCAGAAAATAATCCATAGTGCAAAAATAAAAATGCAAATATTACAACATATGACATTACTATATGTATAAATCTCTCATTTCTCTAAAGTAATGCTGTCCAACAACAGTGGTTAATGACAGAACAAACGATAGAACGATAGAGATACCGATTATTACAGATCAAGTAGACCAACCGATATTTTGAACCGATATATATGTCTGGTGTAAAAATGAAAATTAATGTCAAAATTGAGAATAACAAGGGCTCTGACAAAAACTGCCTTCCCTGGTGTTGGTTGAGTGTAGTACTACCACAGTAAACTCTTTATTTTAAAGAGTTAAACTCTTTATTTTTGGCAAACAAAGGGTTTACTATTAACATTAAAACATGGAAGGAAATAGTGTATTGTGTGATTATTCTTTTAAACGAAAGTTGTAATAATTGTTGTAGTAGAGTAGTCAGGGGTTAAAGCAAAAAAAAAAATTTTTGACTGAAAATTTTTCCTCGGCCAAACCCCATTCCACAGCCATACCTGTCACACACCCAGTTTAAGAGCAGTGTTTTTCTTCTTGTAATCAAGAGCGCTTGTCCTCCTAATTAAAAAAAATGAAGGAGCACCTTCTGATCAATAATCAAAAATTCTGATCAAAAATGAGCCTTCCTAATATGAGGTGAAGTGATTTACAGGGGCATTTTCTTTTTACCTTTGCAATGGCATC